GATGAGAGAGAATCATTGATTGGCTGCCTCCTGCACACCCCACACTGGGGATCAGGCCCCCAACGCGGGCATGTGCCCCAACTGGGAATTGAACTGTGACCTCCTGGTCTACAGATCAGTGCTCAACCGGCTGGGCGGGAGGATCCTTCTCGCCTCTTCCAGCTTCTGGTAGCTCCAGGTGTTCATCAGTCCAGTCGCTGACTCCATCTTCACGTGCCGTCTCCTCTGTGTGGGTGTTTTCTCCTCTTCTGTGTTCTATAAGGACACTTGTTGTTGGATTTAGGGCCCGCCCACTGCAGAGACCCTTTTCCCATATAAGATCACTTTCACCGGTCCCAGGGGACATGCATATACCTTTTTGGTGGCCACAATTCAGCCCACTCTACGCTGCAAGAACCTTTCCCTCAGCTGATCTGGCCTGGTCACCATCTCTATTGTCCGTTGTGCTTTTCTCCATCCTCTGTGCGTGCCGTCGTCACACCTCTGTTCCTCTTCTTTTCGTGAACATTGACTTTGTCTCATTCTCCCCTGCCGTCTCTGTGGGTCCTGCCCTCTCAGGTGAAAGGAACTCCATTTCCCCTGGGAACCCACCTGCTGCTCGCGGTGGGCTTCTCTCACCTCCGCGGGAGTTCCTTTCCTCCGTCTGCCGTGGGTCTTCTCCTCCCTGACTCCGCGTGGACTGGAGGCCGGAGCTCGTGTTCTTCATATTCCTCACAGCGCCAGGGACATTCGTAGAGATGGAAATATTTGTGGGTGATAATAATTATCTGAACAATGGAGTCAGACTAAGTAGTATGATCAAAATAAAGGCAAATAGTGACCAGGTAGCCATAGCCACCTTTCGGTTGTAAGAATATAGACCAGCCGTGGGCAAACTACGGCCCGCGGGCCGGATCCAGCCCGTTTGAAATGAATAAAACAAACAAACAAAAAGACCGTACCCTTTTATGTAATGATGTAAGCTTCTGTGCTTCTGTCCTAGGCTTGCGCTGTCTGCCTAACTCAGCTGTGGGCAAACTACAGCCCGTTTGAAATAAAAAAAACTAAAAAAAAAAAAAGACCGTACCCTTGTATGTAATGATGTTTACTTTGAATTTATATTAGTTCACACAAACACTCCATCCATGCTTTTGTTCCGGCCCTCCGGTCCAGTTTAAGAACCCATTGTGGCCCTCTAGTCAAAAAGTTTGCCCACCCCTGATATAGACTGTGCATGTGGTTGGGGATTTCAATTTTTTTTTTTTTTTTGCAGGGAGCAGATGCTAGCTCCAACGACCTTTTGTAATAAATGGGGGCTTAAAGAACAATAGACAAACCCAGGACGTGCAGGGCCTGGAATCAGCTGAGAGGCTGACTGACTGGAAGGTCGGAATCCAGGTCCTGACCTTCGTCTCTTGTGAGGCCACACCATCTGTTATCTGAACCCTGGAGTAGTTTAGATGTCGCAGGAATGACCTGTTCCTTGAAAGGTTGGGTTGCTGGCAAAATCGTCAAGGCTGCTCTCGGATGTGGGTCTCTCTGGACAACTTTTCCCTTCTCTCCATCTCACTGCCAATCAGCTTCCCCTTGTCCCTTAGGGTCCCTCCACACCCTACGTCTCCAGCCTCCTCAGGGCCCCTCTGCACCCCATGTCTCCAGCCTCCTCAAAGTACCAAGGCCACAACTCCAGCCTGGCTCTGCCTGGCCGTCCAGTTTGAGGGCCTGTCATCATCCAGCTGCCTTGGACTTGCCATGTCCCAAACTCCCCATCCCCAGTGTGGACTGAGGTCCTGGTCAGCAGCAGATGGGGCAGGGGGTGGGGTGGGGGTGAGAGGGGGGAGAGCGGCAGAGGTGTCCCTTCCAGAGACTGCGCTGGGCAGGCTCTGGGGGGGATTTGGGTGGCGGCTCTGAGGGGCCTCTCTGCTCCAGGTTCCACGTCACCGAGTGCTGGCATCTTATTTTTCAGATCCATCCTGTTGTGCTGAAGATGCTTCCTGAAGAACAGAAAGAGGTATGTCACCACAAATCTGAAAGTAAATAATCCGTGCGTTTTGTGTCACTGCAGGGTGGCTCTTCACCACTCACCATAGCTCTGGGGTGGAGAGTCAAGGTCAGGATCCTGTCGGGCTTCCTAGGGGAGGGCTAAGGATTGAGCACGACCCCTGCCCCTGCCAGCAGTGGTACCTCCCCGACCCTCATTCTTTGGTTCCAGAGACTGAGTGGTTTCTCGCTCTCCACCTCCCCAAACTCTTGTTTAAGTACCTTTTCCATGACAGAATTCTCCAGACTCTGCCTCCACCTTTGCTGGAACAGCTCCCCCCAGCCTGCTCTCTCGGTTTTCTCCTCTGTTGCCTCATCCCCGAATTCCCCCACCTCTGGTAACAGCCCAGGGCGACTGTCTGCCATTGCTTTCAGTTTTGCCCTGCTTGCCGCCTCTCGGATCTCTTGGCTTGGTGCCACCTAAGCAGGGAAGCCTGTCCCTTCCCAAACCCAGCCTGGCCTCTCAGGCCTCCAGTCCCAGCTTCCTGAGCTTCCGTTCAACTAGGAGGAGGGTAGGACCGCCGCCACACCAGCCCTTTGCTGAGTGGCCGTCCCTCAGACGTACCTGTTTGTCCTACCTTGCCTCCTGTGTACCACGCATCATCACTAGGTGAGCCTAATGAAACTGAAAAGCCGCACACAGACACACCCCCACACCAACACACACGCACACACGGGCACACACAGTCACACACACGCATACAAACACCCACACAGACACACATGCACACAGACCCAGTCACACACATGCATGCAGACACCCCCCCCACAGTCACACACACGCACACAGACCTCCCCCCAACCCCCAGGCACAGTCACACAACCACATGGTCCTTAGTTCCCCTTGTCCAAATTTAAAGCACCAAACAATCCACTTCAGGGAATCCATCCACAAACTTCTTTGCTAGATCTCACATCAGCCCTTCCCTTGGGTTCAGGTTCTCCTCAATAGTCCAGCCCACTTCACCCTTTAGTTACAGGCTGGGCTCCCCCATTTTCAAAGGCGATGTCTGTTTGTTTTTTAACTTTTTAAAATTGGGTCTAACACATGCCCAGTAAAATGCATAAAATGCCCTGATCTTATGTGTACAGCTCAGTGGAGTTTTTCTTGTGTTTACACCTGTGTAACCACCACTTGGATCAGGGTATAGATGCTTTTAGCAGAAGGCACCTGTGTCCCTTTCCTGTCAGGCCCCCAACTTACCAGGCCAGGTATACTTTCCCTGGCCCTCTCTACACAGTACTGGGGCCGAGCTGCTGGGTCAGGAAATACCTTCTCTGTGAAGTTGGCCAATCTGCAAGTCCCCACACGACTGCCCTCAGCTCTGACACGAGTTGTAAGGTCCAGGGTTCCCCAGACACCCTCAGATTAGATAATTCACAGGAAGAACTCACGGAACCCGCTGAGAGCGATTGCACCCACGGTTACGGTGTTTTACAGGGAACGGATACCAATGGAACCGTCCAAGGGAGACACGTAGGGCAGAGGCGGGGAGGGGTCCAGATGCGGAACTCCTGCTGTCCTCGCGGATGGAGTCACCCTCCTGGCGTCTGTGTGTGACAGTGTGCACCAGGGAGCTCACCCAGCCTTGGTGTCCAGCCTTGGTGTCCAGAGCTTTATTGGGCTTAGTGTTTACTGTGTAGTTGACCTTTAGTCTCCTCTCCTCCTGGGGTCAAGTTCACACCTTTAGTCTCCAGTTCCTTTAGAGGTCATAACCTAAGCGCCTTCAGGGTGTCCAGTGACCAAAGGCCAGAACATTCCTTTCAGGCAGGACATTGCAGGGGCCTAGAGGGCACCACCCAGGAGCTGAGGGCAGAAGCCAGACCTTCCTTTGGGTCAGTGTTTCCTCACTCCCCACCTGCGTGGGCCTGACCACTGGGCAGGCTGTGCCACGGGAGCAGGGTCGTGGCCTTCTCCAGCACTATTCTGAAGGCATATGTAATTATTATTTTTAAAATATGTTTTTATTGAATTTTAGCAAGAGAGGAAGGAAGAGGGAGGTGGGGAGAGAGAGCGAAAGAGAGAGAAACATTGATCAGCTGCCTCTTGCACACACCCCTACTGGGGGTGAGGAGCCTGCCACCTGGGAATGTGTCCTGACCTAGAATTGAACTGGTGACCTCTGGGCGCATGTGTTGGTTTTAACACTTGATTTTTATTATGAACTCGGTTCAATGAATAGAAATGAGACACAAATTTTAACCAATTACATAAAGCATTTTATTGACCTTATAAATGTCCTTTATTATAAATAACTATGTAATCTTTATATATAAAAGGCTAAGTGACCGACCGTCCATCCAACCATCCGACCAGCTGGTACATATGATGCACACTGGCAATTTAAAAATAAACGTTGACTCGCGCATGCGAGATACATATAAAGCTCCTGCTGGTGCCAATCTAGACAAAGTAGGAATATTCCTACCTGAACCTGTTTTCAGACATGGTCAGTTATATGTTGCTTTTTCTCGAGTTTGAACAGCATGTGATGTTAAAGTTAAAGTTGTGAATACTTCATCACAAGGGAAATTAGTCAAGCACTCTGAAAGTGATTATTCTTAATGTGGTATACAGGGAGATATTATAATAAGTTTAATCAATTTATTAGTCATTGTGTTTTTTATCAATGTTGTTTTTATATCATGTTTTTGTTTTTATATCATGTCTTTATTGTTATATCATGTTATTGTTTATTAATCAATTTATATATTATTTTCATATGCATTTTACTAATTTTCTTTCATCTCTGACACTTCTATTATAAAGAAAGGGCAAATAGTGATATTAAAATATTTCTTCTAATTAATTTCCTTTCAATATGCATGAATCCATTCACCGGGCCACTAGTAATATTATAACATTAAGGAATTTTAAACTGGAGAGTCCTTCAGCTGAAAAGGAAAAAAGTACTGTAGACTGGCCGGTGTGGCTCAGAGCTAGTGCCTCTACTTATGAACCAGGAAGTCACAGTTCGATTCCTGGTCAGAGCATATGCCCGGGCTGCAGGCTCAATCCTCAGAAGGGGCTGTGCAGGAGGCAACCAATCAATGATTCTTTCTCATCATTGTTGTTTCTATCTCTGTCCCTCTCCCTTCCTCTCTGAAATCAATAAAAACATATTTTAAAAAAAGAAAATATACTGTAGGGAGAAAGAGGTATAATACTTAGAAATTTACTTAGTCCCTCACCAAGAAATAACCCCACAAGGCTAGATTCTGGATGTTCTGTAATATACGTTCATCACTTATCAATCCATAGAAAATGGATTTTACATGTGGCCAGAATGATCTGGCTTCTAATGCTTCACTCTTAGAGCAAAGTCAAAACTCCTAAATGAGGTTGCTAAGGCCTTTTATGATCTGACCCTGCTTCCTTCTCCAGGCTCATCTTCTGCCCCTCCCCCCACCCCCTTCGCACTTCTCACTCCTCAGCTCAGAGCTCGTTGGGTGTTGCCTGCTCTGCACTCTGGGCCCTGGGCTCTCACAGATGTTTCCCCACCCCCTGGAACAATCTTTCCCCCAGACTGCACACCAGGTTGTCTGACTAAGCTTATAAGTCAAGAAGAGCGTTCCGAAAGCCTCAATTATAAAGGTATTTTTATCTCCCCGCCTACCCCAGCATCTCCCTGTCCTCCTTACCAGTTAGAAGTGGGGGAGGTTTTGGCTGAGCCTTTGAATATCCTTGTGGCTGGTTGTTTGTTCAGCGGAAAATAATTCAGGTCCCACCTAACTGCATGTGGAAGGGCTGAATGCGATACCACTGATTGTTCTTGAATCTCGACCAAGGGGCAGTGTGCGTGTGAGCTCACGGCGCCCACAGCAGACTGTACTAATTAATCATGAGGTTGGCATGTGAACTGAGAGCTATGTACCATCCTCGTTCAAGATTCAAACAGCCCGAGTGACACCGTTCTTCTACCCAACCGGTAATGCCAGCCTAGAAGTTTGGTAATTTTTATTGGTAAAGATTGGGGGTGGGCGGGAAACCAAATGCAGTCTCTCATGATAAAATAGCTTTATTACTGTAATAAATCTAGAGAGAGGAGAACAGGGAGTGCGAGTCTCCCTTGTTAGTTAAACGCGTTCCGTGTGCACATGGGTTTGAATTCCCGGGAGAGCAGTATCCAAGCTGATGGATCTTCCCCATAAAAATGGCCTTGGCATTGGGCCATTGTGAAATGAAAATGAATTCAGATTCGTTCATGCATGCAGCTTTAATTTACAATTAAAATATTATGGTTACATATTTTAATAAGAATAATTAGGTGGACCCAACTGAATCAACCCTTCTGTTTAATGAGACAGAACCCAGAATCCTAATGAAAAGGCAGGTGGCTGTGACAGGGAACGCGTCCCAGACAGCGTCTTTCGTGGGTCAGGCATTCTTGTTCCTTGTATAGTCTGGTGTCCAGAGGGAGCGTTTGGTTTTCCTGCGTCACTGAGACCTGAGCCCCCAGCACGTGGTGCGCACGCTCTGTGAGGGGTGCGGCTCCCTCCTGTGAGGGGTGCATGGGCAGCTCCCTCCTGCTGCACAGTCTGTGTCATTGAGTCTGACGTGCTGGCCCCTCCAAGGCAGGGCCTTCGTTCCTCTGCCCAGGGCTAACTACTGTAAAGGGGACGGACAATGAAAAAGATCTTATAAATATATCTTTAACCGCCTACATGCTTTATTTATTTCACAATGACAGAATTCATTTCACAATGAAATAAATTCTTGCCCAACCCGCCTGGCTCAGTGGTTGAGCGTCAACCTATGGACCAGGAGGTCAGGGTTCGATTCCCGGTCAGGGCACATGCCTGGGTTGTGGGCTTGATCCCCAGTAGGGGGCGTGCAGGAGGCAGCCGATCAATGATTCTCGCTCATCATTGATGTTTCTATCTCTCTCTCCATTTCCCTTCCTCTCTGAAATCAATAAAAATGTGTATTAGAAAAAGAAATCAATAAAAACATTTAAAAATATCTTTTGT